CATATTTTTGTTTTTCTTTTTTTTACAGAGACATTTTCGTTAATGTTTTCCGATCACGAAAGAAGTTCTCGACTCATTTTGTTTTGCACCTTTCCATTTTTTGAGTTACCAACGCCATACCACCACAATCGTGGTGCTACACCCGCTGCGGTGGTGTAGCAGTAATGGTGCCGGATCGCTGACCCGAAAAATCACGGGGTCGAATCCCGGCCACATTTTGATGGAGGCGGCGTGCTAGAGGCCCGTGTGCTCAGATTGAGGCACACGTTAAAGAACTGCAGGTGGTATAAATTTCCGGAGACCTCCAGTACGTTCCGTCTCTCCTAATCACGGGTGTGTTCCAATACTCACCGTAGACAGCTAAATGGACGGCAGCCATCTCAAGTCTCATTCCAATTCTCACGTAGCCGGCAAAATAGACAGCTCCGAGAAGACCACATCGTAGACAAATACGACGCAGGCTACTTTGCTGTCTAAACAAGATGGCGGCTCATAGAATCGCTCAGATAGATCAAATCTCGCCAGAATGGCCGTCTGCACACAAGCAGGCGCTTTCCCAGACGCTCAATGAGAGTAACGTTTATTTGTTTTTGATTTCAACACGAAATAAGCCAGAAAACACAACTGTTACATTTGTTTATTTTAGCTTTTTCTTCTCGACGCCAGGTGGCGCAGTCTGCGTAGACTGTCTAGGTGGCGTTAGCCGCCGCCCGATCTAAAGGGTACAGCCACATCAATCCATCCATCCATCCATCGTCTATGTGCTGCCTAAGAATTGGGAACACAGCTCATATCGTGGTTTTGGGACGTTAAACAAGAACAATTCATATTATTATCGACGCAATCGTGCAGTATGAAAGGTAAATGACACGAGTACAATAAAGTTTGAAGAATCATCATGCCGATTCTGAATGCTTAGGAGGTGCAGTTGAGTTCTCGGGTTTTCACACGACACGTGTTCGTGCGGTGACAGTCATCACACGAGTGGAGCCGACCCTTCCACGGCCAAGTGCGACGTGACAAATGCAGGGACGTGCGCGAAAAGCGCGTGAGTTCGGTCGCCGCTGTCACTACATGATTTCATAAAATTTATCAGTTAATCTGAGCGCCATACATCAAAAATGATTACGGGTAGGTATTGATGATCAGTACATGAGCAATGCCCGAAAATAACATTATCAGATAAAGTCTGTAGATTACTTAAACAAAGCGCTAAATGTGCCTGCGCGTGTGCCTACGAAGCATTCGAGGAAAGTTCTAGTACATTTTATTTATTCCATACTGCGAAGTTCGCGCAGGTTTGGGCAATGCAAATGAAAACAAAATAATGGACAAACAAAAAAAACTAAAGAACGTTAATCTCCGCGCAATGGTGTTATCGCAATGGATAAAAAATACAGCGCCTAGCTCAGTTACAAGATAAGGAAACGTGCAGAAAGTTATGTCTTACGTTGTTTCGTTCACTTTTCCGTTAGTAATAGTAATTAGAGCGTCATTAAATGTATATTTGCTTTGAAGTCACTCATGTTCCATTTTTTGCGCAAAAAGACAAAAAAGGAAAGGTAAAGCCAAACAGATAACAACGAAGGCTCTGCACCTCCTTCAGGCTTGACAGCTATGCCTAAATTATTTTTTTTACAAAGTGCTCGTTCTATTGTTAAACACAACAGAATAAATCCAGCAGACAGTTGTGTCAGAGAGAGAAAGAGAGAGCCGATTTCATTCATTGTTAAGTTACTCTATGGTGTGTAGAAATTATAACCAATCGAAGCGAATTAAAGCGGACGAAAATTCCGCTGTCCATCCGTAGGATCCGAACCCACAACCTTCCATTTACGCGTCCGATTCTCGAAATGCAGGACTCGTGCGCTGCATTGCGGAAAGGGGGCAGTCAGCTGCAGTTCGCTAGACTGAGCGTAACACTTCGTGTTTTTTTTTTTTCGATGTTTTATCAATTATACACTACGACGCTGCATTCATCAAGCAGATGCGTCAAAACTATATTGAGGATGCGACAAATAACAAAACGCTTAAAAAGCGAACAATCGGGAGAGTGAAAGGGCAAGTGGAAACAATCTAACCAAATGTTACAACCGGCGTAGAAGTGATCAATGGGCGACAAGCGATGATTGATGCGCATCAAGCGTGCCCAGTGTTGATATATTCTCCCCATGCGAAAGCACATGACAACGTTTCCCAACCAATCTACAGAACTGCTCGTGATCTATGCTTTATAGACGCAAAGCGCTGACCTTTCCAGAATAAAGCATCAAAAACTACGTTCCCAATAAATTGCGTAATCTGTTTTATGATCAACAGACAACTCTGCAAGAGTTAAGTTGAGAGGTCATGAAAGTTTTACTCGACATATCAATGTGTACTATTAGGTGAAAAAAAATGAAAAAGGAAGCGGGCATTCCGCAGTGCAGCGATTGGCCGCACAAACTACTATTACACACACCATAACGGCTGCTTGGGTGAGCAATTTTCAGTAAGGTATACATGTTGTTAGAGCGCCCTTTCTGTTCTCGCATATGCCACGCACTGGCAGCAAATGCAACCGGCAATACACTATATGTTCACTCCTGCAACAACATTGTCGTCATTCTGGTTAGTTGGCAAATGACGCCGTAACCTTCGGAACCTTTGATGTAATAACTGAATATTACCTTGCGAGACCAAAGTGCCATACTTATTCTTACATCACACCTCAGAGCGAAAAAGGAAGGGGAACTATATGATGTCAACCAAGCCTTTTCCCCTCGCCTTTGTTCCGCAACGTTCTGTACAACCGATTATAGCAACCGCTAAGCATTTTGTTCGCGGCAACATACAGATTGACAGCACAAATACTGAAAAAAAAAAAGTCCTAGTCAATCACCAAGTCGTGTAGTTCAATGGTGGCTAACGGATTTACACTCTTCTCCTGTCGCGAATAGGGCCAGCATCCACAGTTACCAGAAGATATAGTGAATGGAAAATCACTTCCAGTACAAACTGGCCATAGTAAGAGATATCCAGCTTGCATTGGGATACAATGAGAGCGTGGTCACAGTGATGAGGTTCCCGGAAGCGTCAGACTGCACAGCGGGTTAGCCACTTAATGTTGAAGATAACGAGGGAATTGTGATTGAGGAGCACTCAGATAACATAGTGCGAAACTTCAGACCTGTACCGCAGGAATTTATCCACGATTTCCACTAAGGGGATGGGGGTGAGGCAGGGTAACTAGATTGGGCGGAATATAACGTACACCACACACAGTGACAGCTCATTTAGATATTGAGAAAGGAGGATGCAAGGGTCTTAAATAATTGGCCGACGGTCCCAGCGCAACAGGTTTAATGCACCACTGCTAACTGACGTTAGCAGCAACCTGTAATGGTGGTTTTCGAATCTGTGCAATAACACCCCCACCCCCCTCTACCAACTAGCTTCTAAATTGACACGGCAGGTGCATCTAGGGTAGTGGAAAATGGGAGTTCACACAGCAGCACGGGCGCGAAATTTTTCAATTATCCGGCTGAAATCTAATGAAAACCTACTCACTGTAAACACTGAGAACATAAAATTACACCTACTATAAACCTAGCACAAACAATGTACTGTTTGCCAGACGACCGGAGAAAGGCAGACTTGAGCAGGGTCTCCTCGCGGTGACTAATCATGCTATCGAGTGTCATTAAATAATACCTCCGGTGGCAAGCCACTTCGGAACACACCTTCTTCCAGGAAACCTTCCGCAAGAATGTGACGCAACCGTTTAGCAAATAAACGCTGCAAAACGACGGGCCGATAACCCGCTGCCGCTCTGGGCCGCGTTGCTGCAAGCACCACAAGCCCAGAGAACTGCGGTTATCTCGCAGATAGAAGCCCACAGATCACGGTCACTTCAGTGGCTAGACGCTGAGCGAAAAACACCGAGGAGCGGAAAAAACTTCGGGCCTTTTCACAATCGTAAGCAGCAACCAACAAACTAAAGGAAGTTGCGTCCAAAACGAATGCTCACTGCTGACACGGCGGCGCTGGTTTCGACCCCAGCTCGCAGTGGGCGAGCCGAGGAACAAGAGATGAAAAGAAAACGAAGTTACGGTAGAGGTCACTATAGTTAAGAGGTAACTGTACATCACAGACGACCGTACCCTGCAGTGTAACGCCGAGCGCTACACAAGTGGGGCTGTTTTTCTGCATCCAGTGGCGATAACGAAGCCAGCTCGGGGCTTATCCTCGCCGGCGCGCCAAGACTGAGCATACAAACTAGAGAAGCCGGTTGTGTTGAGTAACGCGCCTCGAAAGAGTGACGCTGGTGCAAAGGGAGAGAGGACAGAGTACTACGTTCTCGAATGCCTGCAGTTGAGCACGACCGTTGCGACACGCCGACAGGTAGGCACGCGCGCGCGTCCACTATCGGGCGCCACTCAGTCACACGCGGCGGCCGGAATCCGATCAGTAGCCGTGCAAACCGTCTGGCAGTGTTATCGGAAGAGGCCGCGGAACATCGCCACGTCCCTGTACGGACGAACTCGAGAGGTGGGGGATGCATACGCTAACGGCAGCCGATACAAGTCGGCGGCGGCGATCACGCGAGCTCAGCGAGGCTCGGCACAACACGGGCAACCGCGTTATCTGGCGGCGACCTCGATAGCGAGATGAGACGAGCGCACCGAAAGCATGCTGACTACCACATGCGTGTGTGTGTACGGGGAAGCTCACGAAAACAAAAACAATCTCACAATGCGCCGTCGCACTCGTCACACGGCACGGCCCCACTCGCTGCATACGCAATCAGGGAAGGATGAAAGCCGCAAAACACCGCTAAGGTGGCGCGCTGGCGTGCGGAACACCTCACGGTGGGCCCACCAACGCCGCCGAAAATTAAGAAATAGCACTGGCGAGGTCAAGGACCGCCGAATCAGGTGTTCCGTCTCAGGTGCGGGGTGATGTTCCGTCATCGACCGCTATCAAAATAAATGCACCGGGTGAAGCCACAGTGGGCTTACCTTCGTTTTGGTGATGACATGGTTGGCTAGACGCACCACTGCGAAGTTTCCTTTGCCGATCGTCTTTTCCAGTTCGTAAAATCCGACTCGAACCAGCCCCGCACAACCCGACGCCCTTACCCTGTCAGCCGCCATGTTGTGGCGCGCCGCACGCATGCGCCACACACTTACTCTCGTAGCCGGGCGCTGGGCGAGCTTCCCCATTCAAAGCACCTCGCTATGTCGCGACATGACGCTGGGCATGCACACTGGTCTAGCCGATGTTCGCAACACACTTTCAGCGGGTCACCCATAGTTCCTGACGGAGGAGCGGCCGAGCCACCGCCGCACTGTCTGCACGATCTCAGCCGTCTCGACGCTAGCAGACGCATCCAACACATCGGCGTACTGCGACCGAGGCTAGGCGAGGAGAGCGGAAGCCGCCGAGCGCGGAGGAGGAGGACGACTGCCTCCTTACGTCACGCTGTCGTGCCGACGATCCGCCAAACACACGTGATGGTCACGGCTTGCCCGGTGACTGAAGCGCTGCTGCTGCCATCGCTGCTGCAGCTGCATAAGTCCAGCAACGGTGTCCGTGACAGACTGCCATCGCATCATTGCGGAACGTAGGACGGCCTCCGTTGCTCCACGCGACCCGGCTGGCGGACCGAATGCGCGACGAAGCCGAGCAAAAGTGCGGAGAGTCGGCCGGCCGGACGAGCTCCCCGCTGAGACCTTGAAAGCCGCGCGAATGACGTCAAACGGCGTCAGGTCTCCATGACGACCAAGCCGCCGCCGCCGCGCCGTCGGCGATGCCCTCGTTCAGTTCGGGCCGTTCAGTCTATGTATCGGAAGTGCACAATAGCTGAAAGCCTGCGGCTGGAGACCCAGTGGACCTCCAGTATTGCAGCTGCGCAGCGCTACGCTCTTGTCGCAGACAAAGCGGCGCCCCTGGGCAGGAGGGCAAAACAAAGACCGGAAATTAGAGGGCCCGTATCGTTACGTATCATAAAGATCACAACACCGCGCTTTACTGTTATGGGCGCATCGAGAAACCCATCATTTAATGCTTTACAGAAGCCTTCTGTGCATGGCCCTGGTTAGGAGCTACGATATGCGCGTTCAAATAAATTGCGAGTATCGTTATCTCAGTCGAGGCCACAAAATGATAGTATTTTGTTCTTTTGTACCTGGCGCTCCAGGAAATACATTAGGTTTCGAATAGACAATCCATTCTTCTCATATAATTTCTCTATAGTGTTTCTTCGCTACCTGACACTAACTGCATGAACAAACGTTTACATAATGCTTTGTTTGCCCGCACGCTATTCAAACGCACTTTACCATTCTATTGGAGTAAGTGGTAATCCAGTTTGAATATTGTGAATAGTTTTAGTGGGTGCCTTGTAGATTTCTTTTTCTTATTACTTTAGTGACATTATACATATATTTTAATAGTAGGTATATTAGCAGGCTTCACTTAACATGACCATATTACAAACGTGACCATACTCGTGACCGATCAGTGTTGCTGAAACTGTACTGAGAAGTAGCATCGCACAAGTGCGCTTCCTGACGTAATGTTTTTTTTTTGTCTATTTCTTCTTGCTTCATGATGTGGAATAATACATCTGCGTACTGTGATTAAAGAGCTAGTGCTTTATTATAGATTGCTCTTCGGCCTAATTAAGACGAAGTAGGCTATGACAAAGACGCTGTGCTGAAACTGTGCCGTCCCCCTTCTCCTCCTTTATGCTGCCCGCAGTCATTTTATTTCTTATATTACTTTGCACCCATTCAAACAAAGCATACTGCAAAAGCGCCTACAACTCTTATATTTTATTAGCTTCACTTATGTCATTGCTTTGATTACTTATGTGATACATACCAGCGCTTGAAGAGTGCAAAAGTGCAGAGAGTCGCGGTGGTCTAGTGGATAAGGTACTCGGCTGTTGACCATTAAATCGCGGGATCCAATGTGGCGGCTGCATTTTAGGTGGAGGTGGAAATGCTGCAGGCCCGTGTGCTCAGATTTGGGTGCACGTTAAAGAACTCCAGGTGGTTTAAATTTCCGTAGCCCTCTACTACGGCGTCTCTCATAATCATACGGTGGTTTTGGAACGTTCAACCCCACATATCAATCTAAGAGTGCACAAGTGTGAAGCGATGTAATTATTTATCCATACTCTTAGCATACATGCCAAAACAAGAGTTCCTCAATCAGGCACAAGTTCGTGATTTTCAAAAATCAATACAAAAGGAGAAAAAAATCTCGCAAATTAAAACAAAGTAAAAATAAGTGCAAACAGAATTTTAACAATCTATATACACATTACGGCACAACTCAGCAGAACACAGGTGCAAGAGAGTGCATTCGCACTGCTCAGTTCATGATTGAAAGCGACATTACCTAGAACAGTAAATAGAATTCAACAATGCGTCCTGAAAAACTCTAACATTGTTACACAATACAGCGTCATTCTGTAGCTTCGTCCACATGTCTACAACAGCAAAAAATAAATAAATTAAATGTAGTCATGTTATACTTAAAAGGGTTCATGGGCTTACTGCCCTTTGTCCGCGGCTGTGAAGTGTTTAGGCAGAAAAATTTTGCTATCGTTGTTTTTCAAACATCATGGAATATCTGAAAGAATAATTCCATGCTGTCGACGTTCATTCTTTCGTGCAAAGTCACGATAGCGGCTATTGTTGCAAGACTTGCTGCTGAATGCGTTTTACAGTAAGAAAAATAAATGTAAAGCTCTATTTGTAACCCGTTCACATTTAGCGGTGTTGTCTTGTCTGCATGGCTTACATATCGGGCATGCGTATTCCAGTACGGAAGAACGGAAGTATTGTGCATTTGTACGCTAAATGTCTTACTTCAGGTGTCGTGTCACCAAGCCTTCTACGAGGCATTCAATTTTCTTTACTTATCACAGATTTAGTCTTTCGGGGCCTCCAATTCAAGCAATTTGTGAAGTGAACACCTGTATATTTATATTTTGACAGAGTAATGAGCATACAATAAAGGTCGCATTCATTCATTCATATTCTGACATTCGGCAGAGCAGTTCATCATGTAAACCGTAACGCAATGGGAGATGCTTAGTTTTTTTTTGGTTTATTAATCGGCATAAAAACGGTTTTTTCCAAGGTTAAACTCCATTTGCCATGCTTTCCACCAACAGCCTATTGTGTATAAGTATTCACTATGTTCTTTGTGGTCGTAGTGCGATTCCACCATTGAGAATATGTACTGCGTCAACCGCATAATGCCTAATAAAAACACCAGGTGAGAAGCAACTGTTTATATCACTAATACAATGACAGAGCCCTGTGGAACCTCTGAACAGTACCACCCGTCATGTACTAATGGAGCCTTCAATGCAAATTACCGGCTCTCTATTTGTAAAATAACCTGATTCCAACTTGTGAGCTCATCATTCTCAAAAATCGTGCAAATTTTATGCAGCAATTTCTGGTGCGGTACTTTGTCGAACGATTATCTGAAAGCAAGAAAAATAACGTCAGACTACTTATTGCAGTGATTAGGCATTTCATTGGGGCTAGGCTATATCGCACATTAGTGCAGCGTCGCAGAGGTAAAAACCAACAGGGCGTGAAGCAAGCGAACTTTGATGAGGTGTTGACACATAAAATAGTCGGAGCCTATTTCACACTATCTCTATTTTTGCTTTGCACCGATGCATTACAGCTGCAAATAATTTTCAGGACAGCACCCTCAAAGAAAGGCAGACATCTGGCCTGGGATAATGTATGCTAATTAGAATAATTTTGGAGGTTTTACGAGCAATACCCCAGTACAATTATGAGGCACGGCATAGTTGAATTTCCGATAATTTAGAGCACTTGGAGTTCTATAACGTGCCCCTAAATTCAAGTACACGGTTCCTTTTTTTTTTTTTCATTGCGGAACACACTCATCTGATGCCAGACGCATACATACACAGCAGTATTTATTTATTTGTTTATTCATTATTTCATTCATTCTTGTATTCTTTCTTCCATTCTTTCTTTCTTTCTTTCTCTTTCTTTCTTGCGAGCAAAATGAAAACCGTCTTATGGAGCCTACTTGTGTAATTTGAAGCAAGCACAACGCGATTCAAGGCGCAAAGTGTTTCTTTTGATGCGGGAATAAAACCGCGTTGAACTCGGGGATTAGTTAAAAGGCTGGGAAAAATACCCTTCAGTATTTAATCATTGTGGAATCAGAACTCATCGACTATGCAATGAGCGTTGATACTTGTAAACGTCTTTGAAGCTGTTCTCTTTTCCGACCATCAGGCGGGAAGTTGTGTTCCTTACACGGAAGGTCGTTCACCCCAGCTTCAATAAAGAAACGTTTATAAAGACAATAAGAGAGCATATATTTAGGGAACATAGCGTACTTTTAAAAAAATAGGTATAAAATTCTTATTCAAAATTACATTCTGGGAACGATGTTTTTTTTTCAGATCTGATGGTGCTAACTGGAACTAGCCTTATGAATATAATCAACTAATCGATCAATAAATCATTTGTTTAACGTGCCTAGAACAACCATGAGGTTTTAGTGCAGGCGCACGCAAAAATGTATCGATAAAAATAAACAATATATATGTAACAATAAAGCAATACAAATAATACAATACAGAAACTCTTCAGAAAAAAAATCAAATGAACCATGAAAATGCGCAGAAAAAAAGAAATCAGCACGATATGGGAAGAATAAAAATACATGACGAGAATAATAGAAAGGAAGTAAAAAATAAAAGGGAATATACACGTCTATGCAGAAGCCTTCCTGAAAGACGGAAAGGGAAGAATATGCACACTGTGAAATACTATGCTAAGACAGTGCAGAGCTGAGATAGGAAGAATGAAAGCGGACTGTGAAAAACATCAAGGTCATGAAAATTGAGCATGCTATCAAAAATATCACCAAGATCATTGAATTCATAAACCTTGCGTAAAAACCTGTCATTTAATGAAAGTGGACGATGGACATTTTGCGAGATATATTCATGAATTCGGTCTTCGGAGAAATGTTACTGTTGTCACAGCGTTCAGAAAAAAGAACACAAATCTGACTGCCGCAGGCGACAGTCGTTAACTGAATGAATTCTCTCAAATATCCTAATGTAATCAGCATATAAGGAAAAACAAACAAAAAGAACGAATTTCAAAAGAAACGTCGTGAACGTAAATAAAAATAAGAGTATACCTATACCAACCTTTGAGGGACTCCACAAGTGTCTTTGTACAAGGAATAATAATAATAATAATAATAATAATAATAATAATAATAATAATAATAATAATAATAATAATAATAATAATAATAATAATAATATCAGGTGTTTAAACGTGCCAGATCCACGATGTGGTTACGAGACGCGCCGTACGTGGAGGACCCCGGAAATTTTCACCACCTGCTGTCTTTGACACGCACTGACTGGAATCGCACAGTATTATCAGCGTCAGATGAAACTCGAACAGCCACAAGCCATCGCGATGCTATAGTGCGTGCCGTTAACTTATCACTATATACGAACGGCCACGCATATATGCGCAAAGCTGCCAAATAGGATGCCCGCGCCTGTCAATGGTGATAACTGGACTGCACGCACTACACTATCGCAAAGGCTCTCCGCTGTTCGGGTTTCATTTGACGCTGATAGTGCATGGT